GTTTTGGGGGGGGTTGTGGGGAGCGTCCGGCGTCGCACCAGGCCCCCCTGTGACTGCCGTGCGCTGCCCCCCGCAGCAAGACTACGTGATGCTGTGCGCCGTGGACGAGGCGGAGGAGATGGTGGACGGCGGCAGGAAGGACGCGATCGACGACCTGAAGGAAGGGGAGCTGGAGGCGTTCGTCAGCTCCCTGGGGATCGACAAGTACGCGAAAAGCTGCCTGGTGGTGGAGGAGGATGACGGCGGCAGCCAGGAGAAAGAGAAGCCCCCAAAGAAAGAGAAGAGCAAGAAAGAAACTAACCTTCCTTCGCTAGAGGAGAAAAAAGATAAAAAAGTCAAGGAAAAGGCAAGCGGAGTGAAAGGCAGCAAGAAGAAGCAAGCTGCTTCTCCTGGTGACCAGGGCCAGCACCTTTCAGCAAAGAAAGAGAAGCTGGAAGAAGATTTTGAATTTCATGCTAGGCAAGGGATACTGATCAAGCCAGGGGGCAAATGGTATGATCAGGAATACACCAGCGAGTTCTCTTCAGAGCCACAAAATCAGGAGCTTCTGTCCAAGTATAAGGCCTTGGCTCAAAAGCTGTATGAACATGAGACGGACCTGTATAAGAATAAAACAGATTATCAGAAGAGAGCCTCTTCTGCCTGGATGAAAACTGTTGTGTCATCGGGTACCTTGGCTGACAGGATGGCAGCAATGACCCTTCTCATTCAGGACAGTGCTGTCCACAGTATCCAGTTTGTTGAGAACTTGGTAAACCTCATAAAGAAGAAGGGCAGCAGGCATCAGAGCCTCATGGCTTTGGATACTTTCAAGGAGCTTCTCCTTTCAGATCTCTTACCAGACAACCGAAAATTATGGTTTTTCTCTCAGCGACCTTTTAACAACATAGAGAAGATGTCAAGTGGCAACAGGGATTCCAGGGACAGGCGGCTGATACTGTGGTACTTTGAGCACCACCTGAAACTGCAGGTGGCAGAGTTTGTGCAAGCGTTAGAAACACTCAGTCATGATTCTCTGACAGCGGTGAAATCCCGGGCGCTGGCAGTTGCCCATGAGCTTCTCTGTAACAAGCCCGAGCAGGAGAAAGCCCTGCTTGTTCAGCTGGTAAATAAGCTGGGAGACCCTCAGAACAAAATTGCCACCAAAGCCTCTTACCTTTTAGAGACTTTACTTCACAAGCATCCAAATATGAAGGGAGTAGTGTGCAGCGAGGTGGAGAGGCTTTTGTACCGGTCAAACATTAACATGAAGGCTCAGTATTATGCCATCTGTTTCCTTAATCAGATAGTCCTCAGTCATGAAGAAAGCGCCCTGGCCAACAAGCTGATAGCTTTGTACTTCTGCTTTTTTCGGAACTGCATAAAGAAAAAAGATGTTGAATCCAAAATGCTCAGCGCTCTTCTCTGCGGGGTGAACAGAGCTTACCCTTACGCTGAGACTGGTGATGAGAAGGTGAAAGAACAAATGGACACGTTGTTTAAGGTTCTGCACCTTGTGAACTTCAGTACCAGCATCCAGGCCCTGATGTTACTGTTCCAAGTGATGGACTCTCAGCAGACTGTGTCGGATAGATACTATGCAGCACTGTACAAGTAAGTGACAGGTTTGCACTTTGTATAGAAATTTCATTTTATGAAGTAGTCACCATTAGTTTCAAGTTGCAGAAACACTTCTTTTGCTTTTAAGATCTTGTGAGTTTTGTGTCTCACTGGCTGAAAATTTCTGATGGCTTGCGTGAGCTAGAAGAAAATGCATGTGATTTCTTTGCTTAATGTGAGGATAAAGCAAAGGGTAGTGATAGCTCCTGAGAACACAACATACACGTTGCATCCTTTGCACTGTTTCCTGGAGCATGTTGTAATTCTAGATGCTATTTGAAACTTACTTATGATTTCTGAAATCATATTTACAGATACTGTGATTAGTCATGTAATAGCCTAAAATATTTTCTGGTTTTTTTTTTTATAGGGGGGAGGAAGAATATTAGTTTAACAAATTCTTCAGATCATTTAATTTGTGTGTTTGGAAAGCCTTGTGTTGTAAAAGTTTTCTCTCCTTTTGTCCCAGCTGATCGTTTAGACTCTTTGTAAGGACCTTGTAGGCTTCTGTTTAGTTGACCAAAGGGAAGTTGCTGATTTTTGTAAAGGCGAACCCGAGTTTCCCCAGTATGTGCAATGCATTCAAGAGCCTTGCTGTGCCTGGCAGCCTGGAAAAAACATGGAGTGGAAAATGCTAATATATATGTGTGGTCTGAGAGTGAAGCGTGGTGATTGCTACCCATTTTCTTTCTATTTTTTTTTTTTTAACATCTAAGTAAATCAGATCAGTTTATTACTTCGAGTACCTCAAGTTTTGAAACTCTTTTCAGTTGAATTCAGTTTGTTTATATTTTTTTTCATTTTTTTTCTTTACAGCTTTTAATTTTCAGATTCCCATATATATCTAGAAATAGTACACAGCTGTTGACAGTTCAGGGTTGATCGTGATGATTTTGAGTGTTGAGGAACAAGCTGTTACAGGTTTTGCATGGCACTCTGAAAAACGTAGATGATTGTTGTTAATAGCAATTATTCTTCTATGTGCATTATGACAATCAGCAATGTTTTCTCCTGTGTGTTCTACAGGAAGCTTCTAGATCCTGCTTTAGCAACCTGGTCAAAGCCGTCCATGTTTCTTAATCTTATCTATAAATCTCTGAAGGCAGATGTGGTGTTACGGCGGGTGAAGGCCTTTGTGAAGAGGTTACTTCAAGTCACTTGTGGACAAATGCCACCCTTCATTTGTGGAACCCTGTACCTTCTGTCTGAGCTTCTGAAAGTAAAACCGGAGTTAAGGGTCCAGTTGCAGGATCATGTGGTATAAGACGATTTCTTTATCTCATGGTTTTTCCAATAAGAGCTATTTTCATAAGCACCTTTCTCTAACCTGCTTAATAGTGACTTGAGGGTTTGCTAATATGTTATGTCATGGGAGAAAGCACTTGAACACAGAAAGATAGAATTGACTAGGTTGGAAAACACCTTTAAGGTCATAAAGTCCAACTATTAAAAATCTGCATAGAAGATGGTTTAAGAATTCTCGTGGGTTCTATGAACTGCATTCATGGGGAGAGGAAATGCTGTGTAAGTAAGTGGGTGAACATTCTTCACCCAAAAGCTTTGTCTAAACATGGCCTGTTTGTTTCTTCTGTCTGCTGTCTCTGAAGTAGAGCTAGGCAGGACAGGGTTTTTTTCCCCTTTTTTAGGCAGGGAGAGACCTTATATCACATGTGTGATATAAACTGTAAAATTCAATTTTAAGTGGGGTATCAAGGCCAAAAATTTGTATTGCTTAAACATTGGCCATCATTTGTTTGTGTTTCTGTAGGTAGCTTCTTAACAATTACATGTGCATTTTTCTAATAAAAGTGGAAAAGAAAAGCTGCTCACTAACGTTTTTTGTTGTTTAGGAATTGGATGATGAAGAGTGCTTTAAGGATCAAGAAGAGCCTGAAGAGGATGAGGAAAAATTTGTGGATGCAGATAAAGAAGTAGAAGGTGAAGAGAGGAACACAATGGAAAACTCTGCTAAAACAAATGATTCAAATTCAGCAGCCTCATGGGTGCATCATCTGAATTTGGGAGGTAAATTAGCAAGAAAATATAATTCATTTATCTTCTAACATTCTGTAACAGTGGCACATTGATAAAAACGTGTTGTAGTATCAAGAGATTAAAACATTATTTTAATTTTTCAAATTGAAGTAATGTAGCCAAGATTAGGATGTGTAACTGCTCATTCAGTAGTGAAGCTTGTTAGCTTTAAACCTGCTTCTAGTTTCACTCTTTCTTGAGGACTTTCTGGAACAGAACAGGGGTTTTCAGGAGCTTCTTTGAAAGCATGTAAGAACTCACCTGTGCACCTGTCATACAGTGGGGAAGGGAACCTGAATGTAGTTACTTGCTACTGAGTGCATCTGTGACCTGTCCAGCTAAGAATGATGAGAGCATTACTGTCATGGTGAAATGAAAGTAATGCTCTCATAAGGCTGCCTGAGGAAATTGAAGTTGTTTTCCTCTTCTCCGCCCCTCAGGCAGGAAGAGTGGAGCTTTGTATGATCCTATGCACCGGAGTCCTTTATATTGTGGTGCTGAAAGTACAAGCCTTTGGGAACTGAAGAAGGTAAGGCATTCTTATGTTGCAGATTACTGTGTTTATCAGTGTGGCCCTTGGATTGAGAGAAGAAAATGAACTTGCTTATTGTTGGGGTAGCTACCTGAGTAACATAACAGAAAGATAAAAGCTGACACATTGTTCAGCTTTAAGCTTGCATGTGTTACATGTGGTGCTGATATTCAGGAGAAGAGAGTAGCAATTTCTAAGTGAAGATTTGAACAGTAGGAATATTTTTTGACTTTCAGGTCTTAGCTAAAGCTTTTTATGTAAGTGGGAATGTATTTAGTTCATGCAGACAAAAGATGAGGAGTTGAAGTTCTTCATCTGTTCAAGGGCAGAGTACATCAGCCTCGCACTACTGCATGCATCTGTGTGATATTTGTTGAGTTACAGAGCAGTCTTATGACATAGTGGTGTTGTCAGGAGTCGTGTCAACATGAGTAACGATTGCATTTATTTTTGGAGTAGAAATAAATAAGCAATTCATGTTTTTCAGCTTTCTGAACATTTTCATCCATCTGTGGCCCTATTTGCAAAAACAATTCTAGAAGTAAGTGCTGCTTCTGGTCTGGAGCTTTGAAGGTTGATTTATGTAAGCTGTCCTTGATGTTTGAAAAATACATTATAAAGCCTCCTTGCACTCTGCAGCATTGTAATGTACACCGAAATACAAAGCTTTTCGGGGAATTCAAGTGTGTTATAAAAAGAAGTAGAAATGTGGGTATTACATGATCTTTAAAACTTTTTTAAAGTTTTGGTCTATCTTTTTATTTAGCATGAGTTTTTATGTGGGGAACCCTACTGTTGGAACAAATTCTTTTTTAATACAGTTGTGGTATTGTGCCAAAAATACCCAAACCTACATAATTATGTATGTAGAATATTTATTTTCACTTGAATATATGGTATACAAATAGTGCTGAAGATTAACTGCTGTTAACACAGTATATTGCAAAGGAGTTCATCACTGAAACCAAGTGTTTTTTAGTTAAAAAAAATACTGACATTCCAAAAATAGGAACCTGTACAGGAGTGTATTAAGTGGTCAGGCTTATGTGATGAAGTATCCCCAGGTCTTCGTCTTTGATTTAAAGTGTGATTTAATGTTGTTCTTGGTCTGTTTGAGTCCTTTGTGTTCAGTTGCTGTCTTTCTAAAATGAAGACCTCAATGATATTTGGCTTTTTCCTTCTTTCAGGGAAATCACATTCAGTACTCGGGTGACCCTTTGCAGGATTTCACATTAATGAGGTTCTTGGATCGCTTTGTGTACAGAAATCCCAAACTCCGTAAAGGCAAAGGTATGAACTTCTCTGTACGTATCAGCATATGATCTTGTCTGTTGATGGTGACCAAGCTCTTTTTCTCTCAGATTGCCAAGTAGCCCTTGGTGCTTGTCCAGTATTTGGGTGCATGTTGTGCAACAGAGGAGTGGGATCAGTCTTCAGGGCTGCAAGAGAGATGTCTGCAAGCAGAACTAGCTGACAATCATACTGCTGCCTCTCACATCCACAGTGCAGAAATTGCTGCTTACCAGCTGTGCAGCCACCAGCATGTACTGGTGCATGGGTTTCTTCATCCCCAGGTGCAGAACTTTGCCATTCCCCTTGTTGAACTGCGTGAGGTTCCTGTCAGCCCATTTCTCTAGCCTCTTGAGGTCCCTATGGATGGCAGCAAAACCCTCTGGTGCATCAGTCACTCCTCGCAGTTTTGCATCAATAGTAATTTGTTTCTGATTTATGTTCTGCTACAGAAAACACCAGCAGTGTGGTAATGCAGCCGAAGAAGAAGCAGTTTATGAAAGATGTGCAGAATCTTGCAGGTAAGATTCTTTTCGGTTAAGATTATGATGGCTAAAAAATTTTTATCTGGTTGTTGTAGACATGTCATCTGCACCATCTGCACTATTTCTGTTGGTAATAAAAGAAAGTCCTACCCATCAGGAGTGCAGTGGTCTTGTCTGATGTTCAGGATCAGGTCTAATCTTGTTGAGGGTGCATGGAATCTCCACAGTTAAACTTTGGATCCATTGAGTCATTTTAAGAACAAATGACACAGAGAAAATCAATTACCTCAACTGTTAGCCTCTTAAGTCGTATAGAACATTGTTTCAAATTTGTTTGTATCTGGCAATGTGACCACTTAGAGGAGAAGGGAAAGGGCTAAAGAAAGGCTTACAGTTTATTTGAGGTAATGGTATTTCTAGTTAGAAGAGCAGATTGTTAGGGTGCTAATCTTACGGAGACATGAATTTATAAAATACTAGATTTTCTTCTCACAAACATACCATTCTTGGCCTGGCATCCTAGTTTTATGAATAATACTTGTTAAAGTTCTTAAAAATATCTAGAATTTCATAAGAAGGATGAAAGGGATAAACCCAGCCTTGTTAGAGAGAAGCCTGGGGGCAGCATGCTAATGTTTGAGGGACAATGTGCCTGTCGGCTCCTTCGCTCTGCTGCTCCTTCGCTCTGCTGTTTCAGTGGAGGCAGCAAAGACTCCAAGGGTTATTGGTGTGTTAGAAACCATGGAAGCACCTGAGAATGGTCACATAGGAATTAGAGCTTCTCCTCACAAAAAGGTGGCAGGATCAGTAGCCCAGCTGAAGAGCATCTACATTAATGCACACAACATGGGCAACAAACAAGAGGAGCCAGTAGCCATGTGCAACAGGAAAACTATGACATAGCCACCATCACAGAAACGTGGTGGGATGACTAGCACAACCGGAGTGCTGCAGTGGATGGCTATGAAGTCTTCAGAAGGGATAGGCAAGGAAAAAGCGGTGGTGGGGTGGCCCTGGAGACAGGGTGAGGTTCAGTCCCTTCTTCAACATGTTCAGCTGGTGTACGGTCCTGCCTTGCAGCTGCTGACGAGTATTTCTACTGCCAGGAGTGTTGGGCAGAAGTGCTTTCAGTGTTATGGTGCATGGCAGCGAGTTTATCTGATTTCCTACTACTTTTTTTCCTTTATTTTTTTTTCAGTGCATTTTGCTGTAGGTGATTGCATACCTCCCTGTTAACTCACTGTTAGTTTGAAGAGGTTTTGAGATGAGCTCCACTATTTTTAATGCATGACACTGGGTATCTGCATACTTCTGTCTGTGCATGGTGTTTAACATTGTAAAAGAATAACAGTCATTTCAACTTGATGTAAAGTCAGTTCTTTTTTTCCTTTTGCAGTCAACAGCAAGGAATTCCGTGCCAAAGATGAAAGCAAAATCCCAGTGGATGAAGTATTTTTTCATAGGTAATGAAATACTTGTGAACATTCATTTTAAGTGTTGCTTTTTAACGCAGTGCCATCAAAACCCATTGCATTTTGTCAAGTATTCTGTGGTATTCCAAGTGTTTGCAAAACTTGATTAATTTTGAAAAATCTGATGATAGTATTTCCCTTAGAATGTAATTTCAACATCTGTCAAAAGTGCTTAGGAAAGAATATAACTGAAGAAGATAGGCAACTAGTGCTTGTAGTCCAAAATTAAGTTAATTTGACATTGTAATAAAGAAGCCTTAAACAATGGGTAGTGATGAATGTCTTGTGGGTTGTAATTCTTATGCGTTAGAAGCATATTAAAAAAATAATGGAATATACCTTGTTTATGGTATTAACATCAAAGCTTATTAGAATGGAACAATGCAAAAATAAAGAGGAGCTAGTTTTCTCTATTTTTTTATTAGTCGTATGAGATAAAAATGCAATCGTAACATTAAAATTGAAGTTGTACACATATGGCAAAGATTTGTTCTTCTTAGATCAAAATACTGGTTAGTGTCTCCTTAGGAAATCAGTGTTTGAATTAACTTCATTTAGTTTGTTGAATTCACTTTGGTTTTGTTTTGTTTTTTTAACATAGTCGTTGCTGTAGGGGCTTTTAAAATTTTGTGAAGTATCAGGTTAATGGAACTTACTATTTTAAATAGATTTATATAATCTTGAGGAATGTAATATAAAAAAGAAATTAAAAAGTGGTATTAATTTTGAGATGAAAGAAAAGCATCTTAAAAGCATGCCCCCTCTGACAAGTTAAACAGTTGTTGCATTGAAGATGACCAAAACTGAGATTACACATTAAAAGTCTTCCATACAAAGTGCTGTACTCTTTTGCTCTTGTATCTGCCCAAAATTGCCTTCTGTGTTTAATGGTTCTTTAATACGAAATGAAGGAGAGGAAATGGTTTAAAATGGCTGACAGAAGGTAGAACTAAGCTCACAGAAGATGGCTACAGGGGAAAATTCAATAGAACTTAATGGATGAATCTCTTCCCACCCCCCCACACCCTCCCCAGTTAGATTCATGTTGAACTCAATCCTTTCTTTCTTATCAGTATAAGGCAGATTTTAACATCTTTCTTGTACCCTTATATAAATTCACTGTGTTCAGAATAATTTATGGCACCTTTGGCTGTGAAACTTCTTTGTTTTAAATCTTACAGTAGTGGCTTATATTCTTTGAAACACAAAAAATGTACAGCTCTGATTTGGTTTGAAACCATAGCTTAACATTTACAACTGGCAACATACATGTGAAACAACTTGCAGATTGGTTTGGGTTGTTTTTTTTAAATGAACTTGTCATAAAGATCATTACCTGTAATCTTGTATCTAAGAGCAATATATTATTTCAGATTTTATTCTAAGTTTGATAAGAGGAGAGAGAAACAAAGGCGTCAGGATGATGAAGAAAGTGTGGAAGATGTAGATGATGATGAATTTGAAAGAGCATTGGGTAAGGTGTTTGTTTTTGTTTTCCTTCTACTAACTATGCCAGTATTTCCTGCTTTTGCAGATCATTAATTTATCCTTTTCATAGTTTATATGGTATAAAAGGGTCAGATACAGGAATATGGAAGTGGAAAAAAACTGGCTTTCCAATTCCCGTTCTGTGCTACTACAGCCAGCATTTCATCCTGTCCATCACACAAGCCAGCTGGATGGCCGTCTCTTAGCAGAGGTCTTGCTCTCACTACTCCAGTGATCAGCTTGTTCAAATGGTTGGAAATTGCCTGATTTTGAACATAAGCTTGTGGGTTCATCTCTTTTTTTTCTCTTTCTTATGTAGTCTGAGAGTTAAATAACTTTTTCTACCAGCATGAAACGTTTGCTTCTGTTCTTTCTTTACTGCTTGGCATTTTTCAGTCTTCCTTACATTCTTCCTAACATCTTTCATGAGGTTATTGGTTCAGTTAGGTCCCTAGAAAACTTCCACAGTGATCTTAGCTCTTCCTGTAGCATGTACTTTGTTTGCTTTGGAATTGGTGTAAGATTTGTTCAAGAGTCGAAATTTGTTAGTGTACCGTAAAATGTCCATTATTTTATGATTTCATATTTTACTTATAGAATAGTATATGTATTTGGAAAAAAACAACCAAACCCAAAACAAAAAACCCCACAAAACTCACTTAGCTCTTCAGAACTGTTTTGTACAGTATTTTTAGAGAATTCTGAACTCCCATAGCAGGATTCTTCCTTAGTGACCCAAGTAGCATGGGCTTAGCTATGACAAGAATCTGTTACTAATTGTGTTTGTCACTTTATTGGTAGTACCTCTAAGTTGGCTGTCTCTGAGAATTTGATGCATAAATTCAGAAGCTTAAGGACCCTTTAATGTTAGTGTTTACCCTTTGAAACAACAGTTTAATTTTTCAGGTTTTGTTTCTATCTGCTATTTTATATAGCAATTTGTTCCTAAGTGAATCTGGTGATAGGAGCTCTTATCCGTTAGCCTGCTTGCTTTTCTGTGAAAAATTATAGTGAATACTTCTTATCTGAAAATTAACATACAGGTTAGCTTCCATGACACTTGCTTGGGGTTTCTTCATTGAGTCTTTGTTCTATCTGGCTTGGAGCAAATATTGAGACTTGTGATATCCCACCTGCTGACTAAGTTTGAATCACTGTGCAGCTGTGTCTGTCTGCTTCCTACATCATCTGGTTCTGGCCAGAAATTACATCCTGGATAAAAGAAAACTTCCATTATTTTTCAAAGAAAAAGATTTTTCTCAGAAAAAAATCCAGATAGCTTTAGGTAACTGGTTTGTGAAGTATTTTTCTATAGGAGTATGAACCCTTTGGTATCAGGGCCCTTTGTTACTGATGCAGATTATATAAACTGCTCAGAAAAATGATACCTAGAAATAATTTATTTAGCAATTACTTTATATTTCTTTGTTTGACTTTGTAGTAATAAACAATTTTTCCCCCCTAGATAAATTTGAAGCTGCTGATAATGCCATTGATGTTGGCCAGGATGACCTTGATTTTGCAGGGTAAGACTTTCAGTTGGTTCTTTCATCTCTTCTTTTATCACCTACATAGAGTTTTACTTTGCAAAATTGCATAGACTTTTTTCAAAACCACTCCGAATAGCACCTTGCTAAAAAGGCAGTAGCAGGTGAATGCTGGATAATGCTGCTTTTCTGCATGTCCCATAATGGAGCATTGTGATCCTGTGATACTTACAGTCTGCTGGCTTGACACGTGAGACTTGCAGTATTTTGTTTACATAATGCAGTGACTCAATAACCAAGGTAAAAATCTTGGTTTTCATGGTCTCAGGTTTCTGTTTAAGAATTACCAAGAACAAAAGTAGGTAGTATGGGGCATAATGGTACTGCTGCAATAAGGACTGGTTGAACTGGACCTAACGCAGTACATAGATTGCATTAGGTGAAATCCAGAATCACAGAGCTCAGTTCTCAGGAATTCAGCAGTTTCATGCATCACAGACTCATTTAGGTTGGAAAAGACCTTTAAAATTTAGTTAACCTGTTAATGATTAAGTAGCCTTTTCTGAATTAACACAAAAACTTTTTTCCTTATGTGAGAGAAGAAGTAAAGCTTAAACTGCTTTTGAAACCTGAACATTTTTGTGAGCTGGGCTGGTGTGAGTAAAAAACAGTAGAGAGGAGAGAAAACCCAAGTAACCAGGTTTCTTTACTGAAAGAAAAAAAAAAAGTATTATTTCTGCATTTAGTAGAGTTGCTGGGGATAACAGCAATGTGTGTGTCCTGCAAAAAAGACTTTCTGAAAAGGAGCAAAGGCACATAGCAGATAAAATACTGAAGCTGACGTTTGTTAGTTTCAGAATAGGATTCTCTTTAGAACTTCTTAAAAAGGTTGACTTTTATAATACAGTTCCACATGCTGATGTTGAAAACATACCTGAATGCATAATACATGTTTCTTCGGTCTCAGCCTGCATGTACAGTGGTTTGCAATGATCTTGAACTTTTCTAACATAGTGTTTGCCAGTAGATGTCATCTGGATGTAACAGTATTTTGCCAGGTAAAGTGCTAAGCTTGTTACGTGTTTTTTTAGTAACATAAAGAAAACCAAAGGTGGTAAGAAAGGCCAAAGAAGCGAGGGATCCAGTGCTGATGGGGAGGATTCTGATGGTGAAGATGAATTCAGTGATCTGGATGATGAAGAAGTCTCCTTAGGAAGTATGGAGGAAGACTTTGAAGAGGATATGGATGAAGAAGGAGGTGTATTTATGGATGTGTCTGATGATGATAACAGCCTAGGTAAAGTATCATTTCTTACCAAAAAAATGAGACGAAAAAGCTTTAGAACTAGGTTATCTGATATGGAATTACATACATAAATTCAGATTCAGTTACCTAAGTGGGAGGTTTGGCTTTTAAGTGAAAAAGTGACAAGTCCTTTTCTGGGCAATGAAGTCTTGAGGGAAAGATTGCCTGGCACAGCCTCCCAAGTGAGGGTGGGAATTAGGCATCTGGGGGTAAAAATTTGCAAGGAAGACATGTTTCTTTCATTCTGAAAACATTGGCAGTAACAAAAGTAGCTTTATACACAAATAACTGGCTACAGTAGGCAGAAATATTAAAAGATCTCAAAGAGACAAAGCGTGCTACTTGGTGATTTTTTTAATTTCTTTAGACCTAGTTAATGTTTGGGTTGTTGGTTGTTTTTTTTTTAGACGAGGTAACTTCTATTTAAATTGTTGTCTCATTAGTAACAGCTACTCTTCTAATACAGTTATGCACCCAAATTTTTATTACCATTGTAATAACAACTGATCATTGCACCTTCATAGTATCATTATCTTTTCAACTGAAAAGCACAGCTTACACTGTACACACTTCATGTGGCTGGAAGAGCACAATTAACGGGGTTTTTCAACTAGCCACTGAAGGGCACAGGTATATGTTTGAGGGTAGAGAAGATGAACTATTCATACAGCTGTTAACACAGTAGTCTTTCGTATTATTATTTCATCAAACTTTGCAAGCAGATGTTCAAGGTGTATGTAACACCTGCTTTTAGCCTTCATATTTTATGTACCTTAGATTCATATTTCATTCTTTTTTGATGCTATGGAAAAAAAGCATGAAGAATACATACCACTGACCAATTTTTGATGTCTGGGTTGAAGAAATCACAGATTTGTTTGTGCATGCTGTGTTTTAAACTTTTCTAGACTTGGACCATTATAACAAAAAAATGCCTAAACAGAAATTTTCATCTCTGCTGTGCTTTAAATATATGTACATGGTGTGAGAATGAGGGGTTGATGTATCTTTTCTTCTTTTCTGTCAGACCCGAACAGTAACAAGCAATTGAAGTCTGTCAGTAAAAAAGGCAAGAGAAAGAAAGATACGAATTTTGCGGGATCACTTGAAGGTAAGGGAAAGCTGCCATGATTTCCATGTGAGAAAGCTTAATACAAATACAGTTGGAAGAACATTGGGTTTTGGTACAGCAGATTGTCTACACTTTTGGATGCATAAACCATGAATGAAAAGGAGGTTGTCCTCCAACCAGTATGGCCTAATTCAGAGTAACAATCTGCTGATGAAGGACTGGGACTCAAAGGAGGAACTTCTGAAGGAAGGATGGGGTTGTACTCGTGGTTTGTACATCTGTTCCTAACACCTGATGCACAGATTTGTGCTATTAGTTCTTGGTTGGAAACTTTTCATTCCTTTTTTTACAGGGGAGATGGAGAATAAACATTTCAAACAGGTATTTTAGATGGTCTCAAAAAAATTTAAAAAAACCCACCAAAACCCAACCACATGGTAACACTTTGGTTTAGTGTCTTTCTGAAGTTGAAATTCTGTCTAATAAGAATAATGCTTTTCGTTTGAAGGATCCAAGAGAGGAAAGAAGAGAAAACTCCAAGATGCCAAGATACTGGCATCTGCAGAGGAGGTGAGTTTGATCAGTACTTAGCAAAAAACGATCAAGCATTTTACCTTGTTCTTTGTAATAATACTAAAATTTCTCTCTTTGAAGTTTGGCTATCTGCTGGATGAAAATGCTGGGTCTAAGTTTGACAATATTGGAATGAATGCCATGGCCAACAGAGATAATGCAAGTAAGTACATGCTACAAACAGCAGAAAGGTGTAATGCTGTTTTACTTCTGTCTCTTCGTATTCTGTAGTTAACAAGATGTACCTTCTCCAAGTGAAATTCACACATGGTCAGAAGTCACACAAGTAGGGACAGTAGCTCACTGTCAGTAAGATATGACTTAGTTACTAGAGATGCCCAGTGCTAATATTAACTCAGTCTACTGGATGGAAGAAAGCTTCAGAGAAGAGGAAGAGGTATCACATGGCCTTTTCACACTGTAAATAAGGATGCAGCATGCTGTCTGTAAAGCAGTTGTGTGAATTTTGCTCTGATAAAGTGTCCTGGATTCTTGTAAAGGGAAGCCATTTGACATGGCTGTTTATATACCTACTGGGATATTTACTTGCAGTATTGGTGAAGGAAAAGTAGTTCCCCAGAAATAATTCTAACGAATTAAATGTGCATCTACTGAGGGAATAATCAGTCCTTTGTAGAGCTTTTCAAGTCTTGCTGGTGTCACCTGAAGAAGGTGAACAGCAGCACTCATGCACTGTGTACTCCTAACACAAGCCTATCTAGCATTAGTAAAATACAAAGCAGTGGCAAGAGCAGTCTTAAAATTTTGAGGTTCTGAGAAGGCGGGGTATATTCTGTGAAAGGAAAAACCCAAAACTTTCTCTGGTGTCAAAAAAACAAAAAGGCAGCTTGCACTTTATTAACATTTATAGACACAGTAGCGAAGTTTTAACTGTCACATGTTTTGTCTGTATTTTACATCATGATCAGAGATAGCCGTTGACTCCTGATTTCTCACCTTTCCTCTTAAAGATATCAAACAGATCCAGTGGGAAATAGAGCGCGACAAGTGGCTTCACAACAGGGATGTGAAAAGCATCATCAAAAGGAAGAAACAGTTCAGACACAGAGGGCTGAAAAACAAGTACAAAGGCAAGAAATCAAAAAGATGAACTGGACATTTTCATGTGGACACTTTTTACAATAATTATTCTAAAATAATTTTTTAGAATATCACACACCTTTCTTACTTCAGTTCTTGCTGCTTACCCATGCCATTTGATCATTCTCCCTTATGCCGTGAATTCCAGACCACTCATTGGATTTGTAATACACTGAAAAATAGGTAAAATCCATGTCAGCTCCAAGTGAGGCATGTCCAAAGGTGAGCCACTTTGTGGCTGTTTTTGTTGGACGTGCAGTCCTTCAGTTCCAAGGACCCTATTCAACAGTCTGACACTCCAGCCACACCTCTGCATAACAATAAACACTTCTGCGGTGTCTCCCGGGGTAAGTCTTTAGCAATAATAAAATCGGGTTTATATGTAAGATACAACAGAAGCTTCAGCCTCCTTCTGAAGCCAACAGCTGCAAACCTACCTTCCAGAACTGATGGGAACTTCTTCTGCATTGTGTATCTGAAATCTGACAAAACAGATAAGTCAGTTACTTTACCAACGTATTTTAGGGCAAATAATTAAATGCACTCTTCTTATAACTAGATGAGTTTTAGCTACATTTGAGTTCTTTAGTTAAAGCCATGATTAAATAATGTGATCTGAATTGATTTTTTTTACATTACATTACAGACTGTATTCAGTTTATTTATGTGTGCAGCTCTCTCACTACAGTGTTTTCTAAGCTTCCTCACAATTGTGATAACCATATACAAGGTATGGATTCACAGGAAGCTGAATGCCTCTAGCAGACTGACGTAGAAATGAAAACTGGGAAAACTACTTTGTTTCCTTACGCACCTTTAGGTGTTTGCTGAATCCTTACGAGGGCTGCACTGGCAGCCCAATAGAAAATCATGTAATGATAGATTTGTGCTAGTTTAATGAGCTACAGAAGCTCATAGAAGGATCTTGCAAATGCTAGTACAAGCACAGAGAAAGTGTTAAAAGCCTCATTCTGAGCACACTGACTGTTAGAAGAGCTCACTGCACTTTCCAGAACAACTACAGCTTATCTTCTGCAAAGGCATAGAAGAACTACGACCTAGAACTGGAAAGGAGGAGAAACTGGAAACCATGTATGTCCACCACCAAGTTAGCAAGACAGGTCCATACATCTATTCTCCAGATTTTGATTATATATTTTTTTAATAAAAATGCAAAGAAAGATGCCTTAATTGTAACAGCCTGCTGGCATCTAATAAGAAGTGTCAACTGATGTAGCGTAGGTGAAGTTCAGCTTGAGCTTGTAAGACCACACTACTGCTGAAATGGGTGGTCTTGTGCCCTCAAAGCCACTGCAGCAGCTGCCTTTTGGCTCTCACTGACCTTGCTGGTAGTAGGACTGCCTTCTCCCACAGCTCTGGCAAACCAGCACTGCGACCTGCAGAGCCCTGAACACAAAGCCACTGCTGTGCAGAGCACACCTTGCAGTTCTGAGCTGGTGCTTGGCTTATTTTTGAGTTGCTGAGGCACCAAGTCTGAGAGACTTGAGGGAATGAAGCTGAATCATGGGCAAGATGACGCTGGGTGCCAGCCCGGTCTGTTCTCTACCTGGGACACATCAAATCACAAGAGCCTGTGAGGCCGAGACCCGAGCCAGGGCACCCCTTCAAGGCTGAGCAGCAGGTGCCTGAAGCAGGATCGATAACTACCTCATTGCAGACAGCCTCTCCTTTTTAAACGTCTGTTAGAACTGATGCCGTTACTATTCAAAAGCAAAACCCCAGCTTTGTTCCTGGGGCTCATGTGCTGCCTTTCAAGAGTTTCCCCACGGTTTTGGCTTTGCAAAACTAAACCAGCAGCTTGTCTTTAACAGCTGTCCTTGAGGTTCCGTGCAATAAGCGACTACTGCGTGTGTACCTACACTAACACCAGCCTACAGCCCCCCGCGCAGGCAGCGTG